TCATAAAACTTTCATAGAAATTTGGATAGAAAAAGCACAATAGCAAGATCAAACATATGGTGCTATGCGGCTGGAATTCTGCAATGTATCTTTCGTCGTAGAGATGAAAACTTTGTGACGAAAGGTTTATGCAGCAAAATAAGAACAGTTTTTTTTTTGGATTTTCGAATAAGGATAACTAAATTGCAGCAGCAGTAAGGTAGGAAACCAGAACCTGTTGCAATTCACGGGGAGATCAAAGGATGATCCGCGATGGTGGAGATGATGGCGGAATTCGGCGACGATCTTTTAAGCAATTGTGGGAATTGCTTTGGGCGGTTGTGGAGGGCTAATGGATGGCAGTGGAAGGGCAGCGAGATGCCAAGAACGCTGCTCTGATATCAGGTGTTAGAACCCTTGCAGATTCTAAACTTGGGATTGATCTCTTTAGGGGATCGACCTCCTTGGAACTCTATAGGGGTTCCTCCCTCCAAGTTGCTGCTCAAAGGCTGCAGAAAAGATTCATCTATTGCTTGTGAAAAGAGGAGGAATACATGACTATTTATAGGGCTTCTAAACCCTAACTCCTAATAGGACTCCTACTCAAGACTCCTACTTCTAACCAACTCTTAATAGGACTCCTACTTAAGACTCATATTCCTTTACAACTCCTAATTCTTAAGACTTCTATTCCTTTACAACTCCTAATTCTTCTTTAAGAAACAACCTCCTAACCCTAGTCGGCCTCTTTACCTCTTTAATAGGGGTCGGCTTAGGTAGGTTTTACATGAATGTCTCTCTCAATTAGGACTCTCCTAGCTAGAGTCCTAACAAGTCGTCTAAAGCAGTTTGCTCTGAGGGTAAACTATTATGCAGATGGAGTTATATTTTGTATTATTTTAAAAAATTTCTTATAGAACCTAATTCATATTTTATGCAGGCGCTAGCAAGTACTCTTGATGAAGATGAGCTAGCAAATCTTAGGGATCAATTTCAAGCAATTGATGTTGATAAAAGTGGTTCAATAAGCCTTGATGAAATGAGACAGGTTAATATTCTTGAAACACTTTGTTTTATAAAGTTATAATTTTTAAGAATTGAAGTATGTTGTTGAAAATTGCTGTATAACTTCCCAATTATTTTTCCCTTTCCCTTTCATTTTGTTTATTATTTCATCCCTTAGATTATCGATACATGTGATTTGTTTACTGACTTTTGGACTACAAGTTCCATATCATTCATTATAAAAAAAGATGCATAGATAATTGATCCCATAATTGATTGACTTCATATACTAGTAAAACAAAGTGAGAGTGCATCTACTTCAAGATCTTGTCACTCTATTATACAAAATTGTGCACTGGTGTTTGTTCATCAATCTTCATAGAGTAGAGCTCAGTTAATTACCAGGTAATAAATCTATTCACTGTTATCGGCTATGATAGTACTGATAGTACTGATAAGTTGTAATTAACTTAGAATTTCTAGAAGTATTGGCCACTGCTTTATGCTTTGTAGTAGTAAATACTAAATACTACACTTAATTACATCAATAAAAAGACATGCTTTGGTGTTTGTGTGATTCAATAGGAAAATCAGCATTCTGTTAAACAAGTTCTACAGCAAAGTGCCATAGAACTGCTTTTCTTTGTGTGAAATAATATATCAAAATTTCATATCAAATGGCTATGGAAGCATTCTTGATATCCACAGGTAAGTATATCAATGTTCATTTGAAGTTCAAATACTCGTTAATGTTATACCTTATCTAAGTCTTCTATGTGCTTCGATGTTTTGACTATATTGTGCAGCAGACGAATAAGTCAAAATCAATGGAAAAAACATTTACCTGTTGATTGTAACCCAAGTTTTTGTGGCATTTGAGACCCTTGAGGTTGAAGGCAAGATTTTAAATACTAATTGAATACTAGCTTAGACAATGCATCAAATTGTTTGGATAGTTAGATATCAAATAATATATAAGTCTGTATCATTGGAAAAATAATAAAAAGCTGTGTACCTAATAATATCAAGCTAAATGCTTCACTACTAGTGCTTTATTAGATCATTAAATATTGGATCATATGTACTGATTTGATTGGTTTGATGCATATAAGATCAACAATATAAGCTATTTATTTATTAAGATGGTTAATGAAAAAATATAGAGATAAAAAAATATTTGCATATGATTTTTATTGATTTAGAGAAATCCTATGAAAGAAATTCTAGAGATTTATTATAATGGATTTTAGAAAGGAAAGATATATCTACTAATTATATTAATATTATTAAGGATATATATAATGATATAGTTACCAAGGTCTACCGTACCGAAGCGTACCGCCCGTATTGGACGGTATGTACCGGTCCAACAGGTTATTGGAACACGGACCGCCCGGCACCGCTACATGCTACAGTACTATACTGTAGCACTGCTACAGTATAAAAATTAAAAAAAATCGGTACACTAGGGCGTACCGCTCGGTACGCCTTGATGTACCGCCCTATCACGACCTTAGCTGGAATTGCCTAAGGCGTGAGGCACTCTTGCGGCCAAAGACGCGAACTTAGCTTGCG